TGTTTCTAACTCTCTATCCCTCTCCCTTCCTCTCTGTAAAAAAATCAATAAAATATATTTAAAAACAAAAAAAACAACCCGCAAATCTTCAGTTCGCAGGCCAATGCTATATCCACTGAACCAAACTGGCTAGGGCCCCTAGATACCTTTAGCCAAACTTTACCTGCAACTTTTAGATCTGAAATCATGTGACTAACTGATTATAACATACTGAAACTTTCGTAATGATAGTTTTTGTTATTGTTAATCCTCACCTGAGGATATTTTTCCCCTATTGATTTTTAGAGAGAGTCTGTAAAGATTAAAGCCTGTGTCATGATCTTTGGTCTATAACAAAACTTGAACTCAAACTGAGATTAAGTTCAGTTTCATTGTTCTGTCCTTTGTATAGCATTATTTCTAGACTATCTTTCCAGATTTCAGTTATTTGGAAGGACCCCAAGGGCCAGTCAAACTGTAAGAACATAAAAGAGTACTTCCAAACTGAGAATTGAGAGAGGTCTTACATGTAAGGAATGTGATAGCAAGGGAAGCAAGGGCACAATACATACCTGGCCAAAGCTCGGGATGTGGGGAAGGATAAAATTAAATTTAATAAATTGCAAAAATGATTGTGATATTATAAATAATCTCCCCCCCCCCCAAGGATTATCTGGCCTTTGGAGAGTTAATATTTTTCTTTTTTTAAGTTGCAGACTCCAGCCTCTTTTGCACAAAGTGTCCAGGAACTAACAATTGCTCTCCAGCGGACTGGAGATCCAGCAAATTTGAACCGACTAAGACCCCATTTGGAGCTATTAGCAAACATTGACCCTAGTCCAGGTAAACCCAAGGGATGTTAATGGACTGTCCTATGTGTGCCTCAGTGCTGCTCAATGGTTCTTTTAATTATTTTTTGTTACCATTCCCAGAATGGGCTATTCCAGATTTTTTCTACAGTATTTAAGTTCTGTTCCCATTCTTGTCTCTCTTTATATTATTTCAACTAATTTTTATTTAATACTTTTTACTATGCTGTTCATTTCACCAGCAAAGGATTCTCTCTGGAATCCTTTGTTTCTTTTCTCTCTCATTGTCAAGTTGTGCTGTATTTACCATTCTCATCTTTTTTGACTTAAGTTTTCTCATTTTTTCTAAATCATACGTCATTAGTTGTGGTTTTTTTGGTCCCATGTTTTCCTTCTCTGTATCTCATTCCATCAAATATCTCTCTTATTTTCACCCCTTTTCCTGTTCTTTCTTGACCTGAAAATCACCCTAATTTTTCACCTAATACTTCATCTGAGATATTTTAGCTTGTATTCTATTGTTGTCCTTGTGTTTATTCCCACTACTGATATAAAACCCTCTTAACTTTCACTAGTAACCTCCCAGTTTCTTATTCCAAAGACTTCTTCTTAGTCCTTAAATTACTTGATTTGTCTTCAGCATTTGATAATGTTGACTACTTCCTTGATATAGAAACTCTTATAATAGCTTATATCTGTAGTCTTTTGGTTTTCTTCTGACCTGTCTAAATGCTAGTTCTCTCTTATTTTTACCATTCTTTCCTCTCCTGCCCATCAAGGAATTGGCTGGTTGTATTCTTGGAATTTTGTTTTCTCTGCACTCTGTTGATGGTGGTCATTCATTCCCAGCATCAGGTATTATCTCTTTATAGATAATAGACTCCCAAATATCTCTATCACTGTTTTCTCTTCATTACTCCAGACCCATTTTCTGAGATTCACCATTATCTCCTCATTTCTTTTTCACTCATTACCCACTCTTTCTCCTGTGTTCCCATTCTCTGTAAATGACTTCATTCTTGAGGTATGTGAGCTTAAAACTTGAATCTTTTGTGTTACTTCATATCTTTTCCTTTCACTTGCTCTACATACCATTCCAGACAAGAGGATCTATCTGTTCTTCTTTCACAATATCCCTTTATCTTATGCCCATTAATATTAATATGTCTTAGTGAGGCCTCAATCCTTTTCCTGAGATTGAATGCCTTCCATTCCACTTACTACTACAAAATAAATCACATCTCTCATTTCTACGTTCATAAACTTTCAGTGATAGCCTATTGAATAAGGTTTCAAAATCCTGACTGTGGCATTCAGAGCTCTCTAATTTTTATAAATCTACCTTTGTAGATTTACTACCAAAACTGCTTAATCAAACCAGATCAGATCTATTCCTAGAACACAGAGATCCATTACACACACTGATCATTCTGAGCCATGAAAAGAGCACTTTCACAAGCTCACCACTCCATCAACCCCAGCCTAGCCTATCTACCTGCGTCTGTGCTCCTCATGTGAGAGTGGGTAAACTGTCCTTGCACCTAAGGCCACCCTCTCTCCTGTACTAATATCATCTTGTCAAGGCTGTCCTTCCAGACAGACTTGTTTCTTATCACCAGTTTTTCTTCTCTCCTGGAGTATTTCTATCAGCATACAAATATACTATTATTCCTCTCATTGTAACACACTTTTGACACCATTTGCTTTCCACATTCCACTCTATTTCTCTCCTTTTTATAGCACTCCCTTGAGCTCACTGTAGCCAGGCATTTATCTCTACCACTTAATTCAGTGTGCTTTTGTCAAGGTTACAAGTGACTTCCACATAGCTGACTCCAAACATCAGCTCTTGATACTCATTGTATTTGAACTATTAGCAGCATTTAACGTTGTTTACTTCACTTTTTGCAATACTTTTTTCACTTGAAATCAGGCCACCACTCTCCTAGTTTCCTTCTTTGTTTATTGGATCCTCCTTTTCAGCCTCCGTTGCTGGTTTCTCCTCCTCTCCATAGCTTCTAACCATCCCGCCTCCCCCCTCTAATTTTTAGAGTGCTTCTAGAGTTTAATCCTTGTGTTTCTTTTGTTTTTTATTTATACCTATTCCCTAGAATGTGCTTGAAATATTATTTAAAGTCTCATGACTAAATATTTTATATATATATATATAATGAATTTACTATATTTCACCAGTTCTGAAGCCTACAGTTGTTTTTTTACAGATCTTATCATTTCTGAATTGGGATGCATTTGAACAAGCTGTGACATGTGATAACTTAATTAGCAGTCTTTTTTTAATTATGGGGTCACATAAAATACTGGTTTGTGTATGTTATAATTGATGGTATTTTAGGATCTGTGAAACATAATATCTCCAGCCCACACCTTCTCCCAGAATTCTTTTGTATATTCACCTGCTTGCTCAACATTCAACATTCCAACCTCTCTGACTATCAGGAATTTCGAACTTAATCAGTTGAAAAGTGAGTTCCAAGCCTCCACCCCACCCCCATTCCAGTTAGTGGCAATTCTGGTCTTCCATTTCCTCAGTCTAAAGACCTTAATGATATCATCTTCAACTTATCTTTCCTTCATAAGGTACATCTGCTCCATCAGCATATCCTGTAAAGTCCATTCAGAATCCACCTACTTATCACTTTCCCTTCACCACCCTTATCTCTCTTCATGGACTGTAGAATAGCCTCCTATTGTCTGTCTGGTTTGAGCATAGGCGCCAGAGTGATTCTCTTACCCCTCTGTTCAAAATTCTTCAGGACCTTCGTCAGTCAATAAAAGCCAAAATCTTTTCCATGACTTACCAGGCCTCCCAAGATCTGGTCTTCCTTTTCCTTTCTCTTCCTCTCTCCTCTTTTCCATCCAACTTCTCTCTGGTTTCAGCTCCACATACAGGCCAGGCGTACTCTCACAGCGGCTTTGGACTGCCTCTGTCCCTAGAATATTTTTCTCCTAGTATATCAACCTTTCTTTCATGTCTTTGGTTAAATGTAACCTCCTCAAGGACCCCTTCTCAGGCTACCCTGTCTGAAACTTTACACATACCTGTACCGGTCTCACTCCCCTCCTTTACTTACTCAATTCATTATTATCAAAATACTTTGTATTTTGGTTATTCATCTCATCTATTGTCTGGCTCCTCTCCTTGAATACAACAGGGATTTTTGTTTTGGTTGCTACTGCTTCCCCAGCAATGAGAACACTCCCGGGAATTAGAAGTTAAAAAAAAAATACTTTTTTGTGTGACTATTCTCTTTACCTTCTCTGTATCTTCATCCTTTTGTTGTTGTTAAAATTCCCTGTCTCCTTCAAAGCCTATTTTAGATGCCATCACCTAAATCTTTCAGAATGTCTCCCAACAGAAGTCATATCTGCATCTGTGTTTTCATTTTGTATTTCTTTTAAAGAATACTTCATATTAAACCCTGTGGTTAATTTTTCCTTTATAAAATCTCAATGCTGGCCCTGGACAAATAACTTACTAAATGAAGAGGATGTATAGTAGAGTTGCTTTTATATATTAGCTCTTCTGTGAAACTTTAAAAATATTCTGTTTACCAATACTTCATTTATACAAAATTTCAAAATAGTCATTACAAATTAGTTGCCTGCAGGCAATCCACAGTTAAGCTTTGTTTGGTACACACAGTGTTGGCCTGAAAATATTGTAAATTTTTTAGATACCAACACATAAAAACTGGGTAACTTTACATAAAAATATCTCAAATTTCACCTTTCCCTGGGAAACTGTGTGGTGTATCTGGCAGGGCCAGCCTTGCATTTTCACATAACCATCAGCTAAGGTTTAATAGTAACATGGCCTTAGATGTGAAACATACTCTACATTTCAACACAGTTCCTGTCTTTATCTGTTGTCATTTCCAAAATTAAGCATCTATTGACAGTTGCCATTTATTGTCTGGCCTACTTAATTCCCTTATATTACCTTCCTCGTCCCTATAGCTATTTTAGTTTACCGGTCCAGATTTAGAAGGATATATCTGTTTCTTTAAAATGATGTTTAGGAGAACAAGCTATTATTACCTGAAGCTTAAGTTGATTTCACTGAAGAGCTGACACATCTCCTTTATTAATTTAATACTGAGCAAAACATGGGATAACATTGTTTAAAAAACTTATTTTTATTTGTTGTGTAGATGCTCCTCCTCCTACTTGGGAACAGCTAGAAAATGGACTGGTTGCTGTGCGTACAGTGGTACATGGGCTGGTTGATTACATCCAGAACCACAGCAAGAAAGGAGCAGATCAACAGCAGGTAAGAGACACAGCCAGCGAGGTAACATGAGCATTTTAAAGCTCTGACAATAGAAACGATACAGTAAGCTAGTGTGGTTAGCAGCCAGTTTCCTGGATTAGCCTAGTAATTTTATGTGACAACACTGAATGAAATAATGTACTGGACTCACTGTTCACATTGGATATAGCAGCATTTGATTCTCTGCTAAAGTTTATTCAATTTAAATTAAATTATTCTCTTTGGTTACTATTACATCTCTGTTGGACCTCAGGTATCACTTTTTAGTGCTAATGCTACATCTCTCCAGTACTGTTCACACATTTGTACATGCTTTTTCTATATTAGTATTTTAACATTTTTCATTCATAATATCTGTTATGCCATTGGGCCAAATTTTCCTCAAATATTTTAAAATGAAATTTATGGCACTAAAATATAATAGATCATGTGGCTAGAGTTTTTCATTTTATTCCCCAAAATTTTATTTTGTTCTTAAGTTTTATGTTAGGTTTGCTAGATCTTTTATTTTTCAATAGTAAACTTGAGAAATTAAAACTTTGTTTTTAATTCATCTGGCTCAGGTAAATATTAACAATAATGATTTACTATTTTTATCGTCTTTGGGAGATAAGAAATACTAAAACTGTCCCAATAGAATAATATGGATATACTTATCCTAATCAATTTAAGAACAGATCAGAACTTTGTTTTGATTCAGAAATTAAAGAAATTAAAACCTATTTTTAACTCCCTATTCCATTAGACATGAAGAATGTCACAAAAATAGTAAGAATAACCTTGAAATTCTACCAGTAGGTGATAAAATACATTAAATATCATTTCACTTAGTAATGTGTTTGATATTAACTCCCAAATTCGTTGTCCTGCCTTATCACTGAGTTGTAAATAATGTTTCCTTTGTACCTTTGGAGATACGTTAAGTCTTTGATATAATCCAGTGATGGCGAACCTATGACACGCATGTCAGAGGTGACACGCGAACTCACTTTTTTTGGTTGATTTTTCTTTGTTAAATGGCATTTAAATATATAGAATAAATATCAAAAATATAAATCTTTGTTTTACTATGGTTGCAAATATCAAAAAATTTCTATGTGTGACACGGCCCCAGAGTGAAGTTAGGGTTTTTCAAAATGCTGGCACGCCGAGCTCAAAAGGTTCGCCATCACTGAATAGTCTATAATTAAGAATTGGTTACAGCCGAAACCGGTTTGGCTCAATGGATAGAGCGTCGGCCTGCGGACTGAAAGCAAAATAAGGGGGCAAAGATTAGCTTTCCCAGTCATCCAGTCATGAACAAAGGAAAACAAAATAGATTTCACCAAACACCAGAGTTCAACTACAGAAAATAGGGTGACCAAGGATAGAAATTTGAAAGAGTAAAATTTTGAGGCAGCTGATCGATGCTTCTCTCTCATCGATGTTTCTAACTCTCTATCCCTCTCCCTTCCTCTCTGTAAAAATATCAATAAAATATATTTAAAAAAAAAAAAAGAATTGGTTACAGAATATTTTTCAGTTATAGGGCCTATTGTAGATTTTGTGGTATGTTTTAAAGAAACATAATATTAATTACACTATCCTACACATTGTTCAAAAGAAATATTAGAACACAATTTAAACATTTGAAAGTCCTAAACTCCAATGGTTTATGACTTTTATTACAAAACCTAGAAAGAAGATCATAGAGCCCCCTTGAGGCTTAATCAAGAATTTATGAGATGGTGCATGTTTGAGAACATATCAGAAAATTTGGATGCATTTTTTTTAATTAACTTATTTTTGGGGGACGCTGAGACTTCAGACAGAATGACTTACCAGCACTTTTGGTCTCGGTAGTCTAGCTAAGTGTGTGCATCAATCTGAATTGTTTATCTAGATTACCAAGATCCTAAAATGGCAGTGAAAATTTTCCATTTGTTTCTAATGTCTAATGTTTCAATTTTGGTCTTAGCCTCCACAGCATAGCAAATATAAAACATACATGTGTCGAGATATGAAGCAGAGAGGAGGATGCCCTCGTGGGGCCAGCTGTACATTTGCACACTCCCAGGAGGAACTGGAAAAGTAAGTGAGAAAGACATTAAACTCAGCCTTCTAGTAGATAAGATTTGTCAAAACCGGTTTGGCTCAGTGGATAGAACGTCAGCCTGCGGACTGAAGGGTCCCAGGTTCGATTCTGGTCAAGGGCATGTACCTGGGTTGCGGGCACATCCCCAGTGGGAGATGTGCAGGAGGCAGCTGACCGATGTTTCTCTCTCATCGATGTTTCTAACTCTCTATCTCTCTCCCTTCCTCTCTGTAAAAAATCAATAAAATATATTTTTTAAAAAAAGATTGAATTATTAAGTAGAATAACTTTCTGCCATTGAGAAATATAAGGAGAGTAGGTGCATTCTCTTTAATGAACAGGAAATGTTTAGAAAGTAATGCAGAATTTTAAAAAAGAAAACTGAATCAGTTTTTTCAGCTTTCATTATATTGTGCCTAAAAATAGGAAACTATTTTATGGTTAGCAAAATCTAGAAGTGAGTCATTGTAACTATCAAAAAAAATGAAAGTTCTAAGAATTTTCATTAGTTTTAACTGACTTTAATTGAATAGTGCATTACCAATGGAAAAATTGGCCCTTTGCTCTATTAACGGAGTTATTTTATTTCCAGGTTCAATTTCACAGGTTTAATTTAAATTTCAAGGACCAGATAATTCCAATGATGTTAAATTTTCCAGCACATAATAGAAAGAAAAACCTTTTAATCTTTTTTATAAAACCAGTAATACTAACTTTGATAAACACAGCACAATTAAACCACAAATTTATCTTGTATGTTAATATTTCTTAAATCTCAAATATTAAAATTAGAATTCAATAATACATTGAAATAGATGCCATGGCTAACGACAAAGGTAGCACAATATTAGTTACTAAGGTTAGAGAAGAAATACCTTGTGGTCATATCCAAAGATTCCAAAAGGCATTTGAATAAAACCCAGTGTCCATAATAGATCAAAATTCCTTATCAATACAATAATAACATATATAAAAGCCAGCATGATAGTATCATACTTAATTAGTATAATTAATTATAACTAATTAGATGCAGTCTCATTTAAATTAAGAGTAAAGCAAAATTTTCTACTAGCAAAACTTTTATTTAATGTCCTGGAAGTAGTAACAAATGTATGTAGGAGTAAAATATGCCTAAAATGATTACATGGAGCAATTCAAGAAAACTACTGGAAGCTAAAGAAATGAGTTTAGTAAGGTGGCAAATCAGAAAAATTTTCAAATGACTTGCTGTAATATAAATCAGTAAAGTGAAATTAATGATTCCTTTTGCATTAACAACAACAAAAAGACAAATACCAAGTAATAAGAAATATTCAGTATCTATATTAATTGAATTAGTAGACTAGCTAGGAACATAAAGGAAATGATAAATGAAGAATACTGTATTTTTATTTTTTTTTAAATATATTTTATTGATTTTTTACAGAGAGGAAGGGAGAGAGATAGAGAGTTAGAAACATCGATGAGAGAGAGACATCGATCAGCTGCCTCCTGCACATCTCCCACTGGGGATGTGCCCGCAACCCAGGCACATGCCCTTGACCGGAATCGAACCCGGGACCTCTCAGTCCGCAGGCCGATGCTCTATCCACTGAGCCAAACTGGTTTCGGCAAGAATACTGTATTTTTAGGTAAGACTGGGCATTATAAAGGTTTTGTTGTATTTTAAACAGTAATATGCAAATAGCCATGAAAATTCTGCAAAAAGGAACTAAACTAGTAACTATTAGCTAGTATTATGAGCTAAAATGAATATAAATGCTATGGTGTAAGCATAGAAATAGATAGATCAATGAACTATAATAGAAAATCTAGAACGAGTTCCAGATACATGGGCATACGTGCCAAAGGAGGCATTTTATATTAGTAATATAAAAGATGATGAAATAACTGCTATCCATTTGGAAAAATAGTTGCAGCTGGTTCTTATCTTTATACCAAAATGAATTATAAATGTATCTGAGATTTAAATATTTAAGAAGGAAACCATGGAGTATTTAGAGATTTTTGTTGTTGTTACATAATTTTATAGTAGGAAAGGATTTTTGAAACATGACAACCCAGCACCCATAAAGAAGATTAATAAATTTGATTATATAAAAATTAAAAACTAAGATATGTCCTAAACACCACAATTGAAAGAAAAAAGATTAGCGGGGAAATGATATACAAGGGCTGATAATCCCTAATCTAGAATGAGCTCCTATAAATGTGTAAGAACGAAGAACCAGTGGAAAGATGGAATATGAAGATAAATGAGCAAAGTGGATAGAATACTCATTGCCAATAAACATGTAAAACTCTGTTCAACTTCACTAATTGCTAAAGAATGCAAATATAAACAAAACTTGGAATTTTTGAACTATCAGTTAACAAAGACCGATACTACCCAGTGTTTGATGACATACTGAAAAAAGACATTATCAGTAGGCGTGATAATAGTTTTGGAGCATTAAAACAGTTTCTAATGTGCATACACGAAACTTAGCAAGTCTGCTTCTAGTTACTCACACAAGGGTGCAAATACATGTATATAATTATTCATTACTACATTGTTTTAACAGCAAAAAAAAGTTAGGAATAACTTAAAATGTACTGACTTTAAGGAATAGCCAGGATTGTGAAGTAGAGAAAAAAATTACTAAGCAGTCATATATGACCCTATTTCTATAAACAGTAATCTTATGAACATACGAATATTAAGACAGGATATGGAGCAAAAATCTGTATGATTATATACCAAACTGTTATCAGTGGTTACCCCTGATGGGTAGATTTTTTTCCCCCTAGAAATTTGTCAGATATGGGAAACATTTGAAAAAATAGCATTACTGTGTTGGGGGCTTGTGTTTGCAATTTTTTTAAATGCACTAGATAGTTGTGAATAGATTTGCTTTCATTGTTGATGAACAAGGATACTGGAATTTGATGACTTAATTTTTATCCTGTGGTTAGATTTAGAATCTACAAGCCTTTTATACTACAGAGTCTGTTTTAAATTTAGGCATTATTCTACATGATTTCCATTAACCCCATTTTGAAATAATTTCAGTTTTACATAGGCACACTTATAATCAGCATCAGATCTGATACAAATTACAATTCTTGATTATTTAAATATTTTCATGGAATAAATAGTAAATTTTTCTCAGTGCACACTGGCCTTTTGTTTTATTCTTCATTTATAATATAGGTTCACTATATCCCAAGGCATTTGAGGAGCACCTAAGATAAAATTTTTCAGAACACTATCCTTTAAGGCTTTTTTCTACCCTCTCCTTCAAAAGTTTCAGAAGTAGAAATTTCAATGAAAATAACATAGTTATATTAATACAAATATTAGTTAGCATAATTTTCTTAAAATTATTTTTATTGCCGAAACCGCTTTGGCTCAGTGGATGGAGCGTCGGCCTGCGAACTGAAAGGTCCCAGGTTCGATTCCAGTCAAGGGCATGTACCTTGGTTGTGGGCACATCCCTACTGGGGGGCGTGTAGGAGGCAGCTGATCGATCTCTCTCATCGATGTTTATAACTCTCTGTCCCTCCCCCTTCTTCTCTGTAAAAATTCAATAAAATACATTTTAAAAAATTATTTTTATTGATTTCAGAGAGGAAGGGAGAGGGAGAGAAAGATAGAAACATCAATGATGAGAGAGAATCATTGATTGACTGCCTCCTGCACACCCCCCTACTGGGGATCGAGCCCGAAACCCGGGCATGTGCCCTGACTGGGAATCAAGCCATGACCTCCTAGTTCATAGGTTGACACTCAACCACTGACTCACACTAGCTGGGCTTAATTAGCATGATTTGTAATGTTACAAATATTATGAGGAATTTTATATTTAATCAGTATGTCTTGCTTGAGATTTATATAGGCCTATAATTTTACTTCTTTGTATTGTCTTTATCTGGTTTTGGAATTAGGATAATATTGGCCTCATAAAATGAGCTTGGATATAGCCACACAAGCACATTCTCAAATTTATAGCTAAAGCCAATGTTTGAAGAGAATTTCTAGAAAACAATGTGCTTGGCATCTTTTAACTTTTGTATCTGTTTCTTAAATGCATTTGTGTTCTTGGTTTTGCTTTTGTAATTTTGGATTTGGTGTGTGCCTTTGCTCTTTACATAGATTTCGTAAAATGAACAAACGCCTGGGTCCCAGAAGACCCCTGAGTGCCTCTATGGGTCAGCTTAATGAGGTGGGCCTGCCTTCAGCAGCTATCCTTCCTGACGAAGGTGCGGTCGATCTGCCGAGCAGAAAACCCCCTTCTCTGCCCAATGGGATTGTGTCAGCAGGGAACACAGTAACTCAGCTGATTCCACGAGGAACAGACCCCAACTACGATTCTACTCTGAAACCAGGAAAGATGGATCATCTGAGCAACAGTGCCCCTGGATCCCCTCCTGACCTGTACGTCATTTTCCTAACTTTTATTTTAAAATTTCTTCTTTATAAATACAAAGTAGAGGAAAGGAAGAATAATCAGTTTTTTAGACTAAATTTTTGTCCATTTCGTTGTTTTTTTATTTCTATTTCTTTTGTTACTTGATTTTAAGAAAGCATAGGTGAAATAAGATCACATTTTATACATTTTATAGAAAGTATAACTATCAGAAGAAAATAATTTCCCAAATTGTGGCAGGTTTTTTTACATTTAATAATTTATGTACATTTCGAGACCTTAAATTTGACTTGCAGAATTTTATTCCCATAGGCTAGAATCTGTCCCCAAGAGTATTCCACATCCTGTACCTCCAAGGGGGCCATCAGACCTGCCTCCCATGCCTGTCACTAAACCAATGCAGATGGTACCGCGGGGTTCACAGTTATATCCCGCCCAGCAGGCAGACGTGTATTATCAGGATCCTCGAGGAGCCGCGCCACCATTTGAACCAGCACCTTATCAGCAGGGTAATGATCTTTCCTTTATTGTGCTCACTTTTCTTAGGATTTGTGGGAACGATTCCAGGTAAGAATGATTATATTCTTAGATAATACACTTAAGATAAGTGTATTTCTTAATACTTTGGGAAAAACAGATTTTATCAGTTCAATAGTATAAAATAAGTGAAGTAACAAAGCTATAAAAGAAAATTGCCTTAACTACTAAAAGCAGTTGTATGTTAAATATGTTCATATACAGGGGTTGGAAAAAGTAGGTTTACAGTTGTTATACAAATAAATAATACAATGATTAATAAATAATAATATAAGAATAAATAAAGTGTTTTGTATACTCACAACTGTATACCTACTTTTGCCCTTCCCTATATTTATGGAAATAACTAGTCACCCAAGTCAACAATGGAAATTTGCTAAGGCAGTATATATTATCCTGACCAAAATTTTCTTCAAACATGAAAAAAGAATTTATTATTACAGTGTGTATAAATTAAATACAGTATATTTTTCTTCCTTTCAGTTTTCTATTTTTCTGGGTCCTGTAGTGTATATGAAAAAGGCAGCATACATGCACTAGCCGGTTTGGCTCAGTGGATAGAGCGTTGGCCTGTGGACTGAAGGGTTCCAGTTTCGATTCCCGTCAAGGGCACATGCCTGGGTTGTGGGCTGGGTCCCTGCTAGGGGGCGTTCAGGAGGCAGCCATCAATGATTCTCTCTCCTCATTGATGTTTCTATCTCACTCTCCCTCTCCCTTCCTTTCTGAAATCAGTAAAAATACAAAAAATTAAAAAATAGAAAACTGTGCCCGGCTGGTGTAGCCCAGTGGTTGAGCGACAACCCATGAACCAGGAAGTCATCGGTTCAATTTCAGGTTTCAGACTCAATCCCACGAACGTTTATGTTTCCCAGTAAATATAATAGTTATGTTTACACTATGCTATAATTTATTAATGTGTGCAATACCATTATGTCTAAAAATATGCATACCTTAATTTAAAAATACTTTATTGGTAAAATGCTGCCCCTGTCATCTGGCCTGTTGGAAAAATGGCACCGATAGACTTGCTCCTCTCAGGGTTGCCATAAACCTCCTATTTGTAAATAGTATAGTGCTATTATTTTTTTAACAGCTTATTCTCTGTGTGTGTGTTTTTAATTTAAATTTTTTAATAGTGCTGGTATTTTTTTAAAATCTTTTTTAAAAAATATATTCTATTGATTCCTTACAGAGAGAAAGGAAGAGGGACAGAAAGCTAGAAACATCAATGAGAGAGAAACACCAATCAGCTGCCTCCTGCACACCTCCGACTGGGGATGTGCCCACAACCAAGGAACATGCCCCCGACCCGAGTCAAACCCGGGACCCTTCAGTCTGCAGGCCGACGCTCTATCCACTGAACCAAACCAGTCAGGGCTAGTGCTGTTATTTTTAAACGGGGATAGATTAAAGGTGTTTTCCATTGCCTTTTCCCAAGGCTGTCTCCATTGTGAATCAGAATTGACTTCTCTGCTTTTGAAAGGATAGCTTTAAATTGGTACAGCATTATTAATATATATGAAAATATGATAAAAATTGGTTTGTATCTTTCTTTTGACCATCCATTGTCGGAAAAACCCAACTACTTTTGTTGCAGTGACCTTAAATACAGTGTACCAGTTAGGGTTCAATAGTTAGCAGAAAGAGGTTCAGTGCATGAAGTTAGGTGTTTATAAAATAAATGGAAAGTTCTGGAAAAGCAGGTTTAAGCTAGGCCTGCAGGAATAGGTCCCAGAACTAGCTGCTGAAAGAACCTGTTTTAGTGAAGAAGCAATAAAAATTGGAAACATATATCCTTAACTGCTAGCTCCAGAATCACATCACTTGAGGCAAAAGTCTGGAAATTGGGAAGCTCCTAGGTTTGCACCAGATGTTCTTCCAGGTAACACAGTGGCACATTCAGAACTCATGCAAATGAGTGATTTGCGCAACCTGAGCTTCAGGGAAATGTAGTTTTTTGCTTTCCAATGTTTGCATTGTGTTAAGGCACATCTGAAAGACAGTCAAACAATTAAGAGAGCCAATCTATTGTAGATTCTAAATTAGTTTTTTCCAGGTCAATTTAATTGTCACTTTTAAGGACAATTTTTACATGTTATTTTTCATAAAGTTAACCTGAGTACATAGCAGAGGGAAAATATCTAAAGAAATGAGTTGTTAATTATTTAGTGTTGAAATACTTTAATGGACAAAGACTTAGATAGAAAATTAGTCTAGCTCATTGTTGCTCTGGTTGCTTTTCTGTAATGTACAGGTGTGTACTACACTGCGCCACCGTGTGTGTCCCGCTTTGTCCGACCGCCACCATCTGCTCCTGAGCCTGGTCCTCCCTACTTGGATCATTACCCACCCTACCTCCAAGATCGTGTTGTAAACTCTCAATATGGCACACAGCCACAACAGTACCCACCTATGTACCCACCACACTATGATGGCCGTCGAGTATACCCTGCTCAATCTTATCCAAGAGAGGAGATTTTCCGAGAAAGTCCTATACCCATTGAGATTCCACCTGCAGCAGTACCATCCTATGTACCAGAATCCAGAGAAAGATACCAACAGGTGGAGGGTTACTATCCAGTGGCTCCTCATCCAACTCAGATCAGACCTTCGTACATCAGAGTATGCTGTGTTTTTTTCTTATTACATAGATTTAATTTACTTATTTTAAAAGTGGTTCTCAACCTTCCTAATGCCGCGACCCTTTAATGCAGTTCCTCATGTTGTAGTGACCCCCAACCATAAAATTATTTTCGTTGCTACTTCATAACTATAATTTTGCTACTGTTATGAATCATAATGTAAATATCCAATATTCAGGATGTATTTTCATTGTTCGCGACCCATAGGTTGAGAACCGCTGGGTTGCTGGTGGGGGAGGTGGAGGTGGAGGTAGGCAAAGGTAGGGAACATTAGGACATCTGTAATAGTGTAAGCAATTTTTTTTAAAGCAAAAAAATATGGAGGTTTAGTAAATGATTCACTTTATTTCTTCTTCTAATTTTTCATAGAG